AATAATAATAATGATAATAATGGTAAGTAAATATAATTGGTGAACACAACACTACATACGTAATGAACTGACTGTTATTAACTACTAAGACGTGATTACTTCTGAATACTTAACATCATTAATGACAGTGGGCGGAGGAGGACGTCCCTATACGTAAATGAAAATATAATAATAAAGAATAATAACAAACATATTGTTATTTTTTATATAATTATGTGTACATGACTGGTATAACATAAATGCTGGTTTTGGGCGTGTGTAGGTGTGTGTGTGTGTGTAACATGAAAGCATATAATGTTGTCATTGTTGTACATGATTGGTTTATGTGGGTATGTGTGTGTATTTAGTAGTAGTAGTACCTTCCTTGATCTTATTTCATCTAAATCGGCATACTGGTGTGTCGCTAACTGGGAATCAGGTGTTGCCTATCAAAAAATAACCAATAATAATAATAATGAAAATAATAACAATAACAATGATAACAACAAGAACAACAACAATCATGATTACCTCAGTTTCATCATTGGGAGCAAGAGGCAATGGATCCTGCAAAGAGAAAAAGAATTGAAAATTCATAATAATTACAATAATCTATAATTACAATATCTACATCAATTACATTTTGATTTTTTGTTTCTTGCTTTTTTTTGCTACCAGTACTCTAAAAATAGGTGTGGTTAATGGGTGGAGCTTGCTTAAATTACCTTCTTCATGTGAGCAGGTACTTCAGTGTATCCAGGTGTGTCTTGAATCAGCTCAGTATCAATTGCTGGCTTTGTCTCACTTAACTGAGGAGCAAACGTTGAAGGAGTATTAACAGGAGTTGAATATTCCTAATGAGAGAGATGATGTGACTATCAGGTAATGATATGATCACTGGATCATGATGATGTCATATGATGTCATGCACCTACTTGAGGTTTTGTTGCTGATGGTGGGACTGCTTTTGCTTGAGAAAGGGCTTTTAGTGGCTCTTGATACGTAGGATCAGGATTACCTGGATCTGGCTATGAGAGGAGAGGAAAGAGAGAGGAAAAGAGAGGGAAGGAGATAGGAATGCAAGGAAGAAATAAGGAAGAAACACATGTACATGTAACACTTGATGAGTTGAAGTAAGTAAATTGACAGTTAGCTTTTTAACTGTGTCAGTGTATAAATAAATAAAATAAGCAACAACGCTATCAACAATAACATGACTACATTACCTGTGTTGTGTATATACATTAAGTTAAGTGCACAACACTCTAACCAGCAGCTGGTGATACATATAGTTCAAAGAATATCCACAAACAACTAAACTAACCACCAAATTGGTATAAGCCCATTAAGGACAGCACCAAATGAGGACACTGCTTTACATCCGATACATGACTACTAAACATATGTATCTACATAGTATTGCTCTTGGGAGAAGCAATTATGAAAACAAGCTCGCACGATATGCAAACAACTTGCCAATCACAAATGAACAGATTGTAAACACAAGAGAGAAGAAAA